CTATTGTTAAAAGTATCAATCAATATGAAATCAACTTATCCCATATAATTTTAAAAATAATTATAATTTTATTAAAAAATATGCCTAATTGGAAAGCCGCAAAAATTAGTAATGTTGTATCGTAGTTTGATCGGCAGAGCATCACAGCATTTTGTTTAGAATACCTTATAGCGTATCCTTGTTGTTAATCATTGTTATTGATTTGTTTTAATAATTGCTTGCATTTAACATTGTCTCTTCCAAGCAAATCGCACATAAGGTATATATTATTTAATATACCAGAAAATTGATATAGAAAAAAGATATTATAGAAAAAAAAATGTTTTTATTATGGTTGTGGGTCCAGCAATTTTGAATTAAAGTGTCCCACTTTTGATTGCGATTTATTAGTTATTATGCATTCTATGACAAAAATGCTTTTAAAATTAATTTCTTCGATAAAAATTGACAAATTATTTTTAACTGCCGTTTATTATTTTTATGAATACTATAATCCTTCAGTTTCTAAATTGATTAAAACAATTAATCAAACACGCGTTATTAAATTTTATAATAGACGTGGGTCACTATATATGTAGCTTGAGAAAGACGAGAAAATAAAGTTGGGCTCGCGCTATTATGCCAGAATTTTGTCATAAAACATGTTGAAATATATTGTTCTATAATTCTAGACAACTGAAGCTACCCGTTTGAATATAATTTCCGAGTTAAATGACCTGGCAAACGGTGCGAGCAACCATAACTAGCTAACTGAGTCACAAGCAATCGACGAAAGCAGGGTAATTTTTGCTTCCCCCTTTTTTCCTTACGAAATATCAATCTTTAGACTAATTCAAAGTGATGACACATCGAAAATTGTGCATAGTCAGAAATAGTCCAATAGAATTCTGATAGGAATTTATTAAATGTCAACTAGCACTAGAACGCAATGTAATTATTAATTTTCTATTTTAATTTGTAAATTATAGCTCATCTCATTTGTTTTATTTAAAGTTGCTTTCTGATCGACATCGAATTTTGATTATTCATTATGCTATTGGAATTGCGAGTTATAAAGTTAACAATTTGCTTTGTTTGCGTTCTTCGACTATGTCTTTTGATGCTCTGCGATTCATCAAAATGTTTGATACACTGCTTATCATGCCATTAGCATTGAATAATCTTTATACTGGCCTGGAGACTGGCACTTTCTGACTTTTTCGAAAAAGTCGACTTGTTTCGACTGTTTCGAAAAAATAAAAATTAATTAGAATTTTAAATTATTTTTTTTAAATCGATTTTTTTATCAATTAACATAATCCACAAACATATACAACTAATGCATAACTAACAATAAATAACTGAGATGATCGAAAAACGATTTTGAAATATTAGATATTAATTTCCGAACTTGTCTTTAATTGAAAAATTTTAACAAAACTTGTCTGTACTAAAGATGTTATATCAGTTACGAAAAACAAAATCTGCAATATTTTTTCCTTTGATTTCAAAGGCCAGTTGGTCGCGTGCCAGTTCTATACATTATTTTTCATACACTGAAATTTCTCGCAACATGCCATGTGACTCTGGACTCTTAATTTTTCTTGTCCAGACAAAAATTGCCAATAGAACGTGAAATGCTCGCCGGCGGCTTGGCGGGAGCATGCCAAATAATCGTTACCACTCCAATGGAACTGCTTAAAATACAAATGCAAGACGCTGGCAGAGTCGCCATGGCAGCTAAGGAAGGTGATGACAACAGTCAATAATCTTTCAAGACATTTTTTCCGTGATTTATCAAATATTATAGAGAGATTATCCGTGATTATCATTAATTATTATTAATAATTTTATATTTTTAGCGATAATCATGCGCTTCTTACTTATCTTTTATGATAATGTATTGCCATGATCGAAATAAAATTAAAGTTTACAAATATCAGAAATTAAGCGTGTGAAACAGTTAAAAGATTAAATTAAATTGTTTTAGTATATGTATGTAAATCAGAAATAATATGATTCGCTTAGACATCTGAAACTAATCTGTGCACCTGTATCTTAGAATTAATATATTTGTAGCAATAAATTGCATAATGCATTATTATTATAGCGGGAAAAGCAGTGCCAAAGGTATCCGCTTGGTCGTTAACAGTAGATCTACTTAAAAAAAGGGGTATATTAGGATTGTACCAAGGAACCGGTGCCACGGCGCTTAGGGACGTTACCTTTTCCGTTATTTACTTCCCCCTCTTCGCCAGATTGAATGATCTCGGTCCGAAGCGAGAGGACGGTTCATGTAAGTCTCAGTATAATTTCATTGTAAGAAACACAAATCGATCTACAGAAGATATATTAAACAATAATAATATTACTGTTCATTAGCTGTATTCTGGTGTTCATTCCTTGCCGGATGCGCTGCTGGCTCGACGGCCGCATTAATGGTAAATCCATTCGATGTAATCAAAACTAGACTGCAAGTTATCAAAAAAGCACCTGGTGATCCTACGTACAACGGAGTATTAGATTGTATATTGTAAGTTAAATTTAAATCATATTCGCCATTTAGTTACCGTTGCTAAGTTTAAAATTTACACGATCAATTTATTAAAAAATCTCGACTTATAATGATATATACAATGCTTTATAATAATTACTTTTGAATTGCAGAAAAACATTTAAAAACGAGGGACCGACAGCGTTCTTCAAAGGCGGTGCTTGCCGAATGATAGTTATAGCGCCATTATTCGGAATTGCACAAACTGTCTATTATCTCGGCGTAGCTGAGTGGCTCCTGGGATTAAAATGAAATCGTCATATCGCCGACTCGTGCCGTTCAAATGCTCTGGGAAACTGACAATAATCGTTGTAGGGATGTAGTTGTATTTTTGCTTGATATTTTTGCTCTCCGTCGTCGCAATAAAAATGTTGCTGTTAGACGGGATCTCGCCATCGCTTGTATGTAAAACAGGATAAGAATGTTAACTAAATTGCCATAATTCTCACAGGTCGCGAATTATAACGAATTCATATATAATCATTCACAAATACACAATTCATATATATATATATATATATATATATATATATATATATATATATATATATGCAATTGAATGAGATGTAGCTCTATCTTTTTCGTGTCCATATCTGTAAAGTGCATCCAAATTATCAAACAAATGCGACGGAATTAATGTACATTCGTCTTACAGATTAGGTTCCTACAATGTAGAATTATACGCTGCATTGATGGATTTATTGAGATATGAAACTATTAAAAGAATGTATGGGATTATAAATATTTTGCAACCATACTAATTATATACTATCCAAATATTTAGGTCATTTATGCATTTTTCCATGTAATAATAGTGCTTCTCATCTCTTCCTTGTATTTTATAGACTCTACAAATTATATGCGAAATCCTGCGCATGAATTATGCTCGTTGACAGATCCATACGTATGTGGGATCTTGTTACATCTATCAAACTAGCCAATTATAGTCAATTATACATGTACATTAAAGACATTAAACAGATTCAACGTGATATTTTTTTAAATAATTTTTTGTTAGGACGAAATGATAGAATATTTTGTTAAAGCTCACATTTGTTATCTAATTTTCTTAATTTTTATCTTATGTCAAGAATAAGAACGTAACCTTTATGACCACGTGTAATATAAACAGAAATATTACAGAATCTTTAAAACGTTTTCTTTCATTTTTTATCCCTCTCATCTTTTGCAGTTTGATGTTTCTGAGCTGCAACTTTTTCAAGCTATTGCATGATTTAAAAAAGGGAAACTTAATTATAAATTTAAACCTGTTAAAATACTGAAGAATACATGAAATATAGATTTTTTTAGATATATTCTTTTTTTTAGATATATTCATAAAAAATAATTTGTTCTATAAATTTTTTTATATTCAAAAAAGATCTATGTAAGAATTAAAAATTAAGAGCAAAACTCTACGTCCAGAATTAAAGAAAATGTGTAAAATAGCGTAAAAAATAAAAACAATACAAATTAAAATCAAATATTCATTGGTCATAGATAGGAATTATCATACATCTTCTTTCAATATAATCAATTTGTTCATTTTATAAAAAAGCAAGATTTGTGTCAAGCTCAAATGTATATTTTTGTTCAGATTTCGTTTTGTTTCTCATAAACTATCATATGATCATCACATTCGTCTTTGTATAATAAGTCCTAATCTCGCTATGGTAAATCGCATACATTTCGATTTATCCATGAATCCACAAATCCATGAATAATAATCGCATTAATAATAATTGAACTTACTACTATTTATGTTATTCTCTTTCATTTAATATTATTTGTTGCGGATGTAACGTTACTCTTTGTCGTATTTCATTAACAACAATATAAATTTTTTACGCTTTAATTTGTGATACAAGAATATGTTGATACACGATGAGATGCATAGGCTATTATCTAACAACATTGATTATATATAAATTCTTTATGATACATCTAATGCTAAAAAAGCCAGTTTACTATTAATGATGTATAATATAGTTGACAATAAATAATTATAAATGAGCCCTTCATTGAAAATGAAGAGATTCCTGTTAAAATTTTTCTTGAAAAAATATTACTTCCAAATATTTTAATTTGATCGTAAATACATGTTTCTCTTTTATTTTATAATATAAAATTCATATTATAAAATATTCTTTATCTCTTTATTTCTAATTGTTTATGAGAATATCATCAGAACTGTATTCTTACATTTAATTCACTTATATCATTTATTTTTATAATAATAATAGCAATAATATTTAATAATACATAATAACATATATATTATTATATACAACAATAAGACAATATATATTATCATATATTATTAATTATAGTTGTACTTATTACATTTGTTTCTTTAATCATCAATAAAAATATTTCTTCGAAAAATATCGGGCATACGAAGTCGGGCACATGAAGTCGGGCACATTTCATTTAACATATATGTTAAGTGTATATCAATAAAGCAAATATAATTGTCACACAAATTAAAAGCGTTTCTTGTATGGTCTGCTCAACGAGTAAGCGGAAAGTAAACTGTTAAATATTTGCAATAATATTTATCTTAATGTTTTTCGCAATGAGTTTATCAAATCGCTTTTTCTCTTTCTCATCTCTGACGTTATTCATATTCCTAATAAAAGTGCTAAAATATAACTAAAACTGTACACATTTTAACTGATATAAAATCGACTTGAGTATTATTACGTTACATTGCACTTACAACTTATCTGTTTCTTTAAAAAGCGTTCTATATTATATTTATCAAATATATACGCAATTTACGTATCATCAGACATGGTACATGTAGTAAAGATTTTATTTACGTACATATCGACAAAGATAATCACTAATGTTATCTTTTCTGTCATAAAAAATAGAAAAAAATTCTCTAATAGTTTTCATAATAGAAAATACATTCCCCGCGTATAAATGTCTAAGTATTTCTAAAATTAAAAGACGTTTTATCTATAGATATTTATAACTCAAACGTTAAATTCTTTGTCATTTCGGAAGGCATAGTATTTATTACGATCCTAGCTAACGCTTCGTGTTTCCTTTTATCTACGTTTATGACATTGCACATTTCATTCCTCTGCACACTCCGATTTGTTAATTCATCCTAATATAATAAGTCTTGCATCGGGATACATGTTAACTGCAACATACAACAATATTTCTAAACTACGTCGGGATTGAAAAAAAAAAGATTCTCACATTCGACGCACGCTCGCGACATTTGCAAGATATTGCAAAAATAAGAATCTCTTATAATTAACATCGTTATGTAATGTTACTCTTAATTAACAAGAAAATCTTTTGTTTATTTTTTCCGAGATCTATCTTTGCGCTGTTAAAAATACTAATGCCCTAGATAAGAAATGTGTGCAAGGGATGAGATTAATCATTATGAATTTTTAAAACACGAGTTGGACTACCGTTGTATCCTTCGATTCTCTCTCCTGAGCGAGTTTTTCACCTCTACTCACCTCATATTATAATGATGAACCGGCTTTCGGTAGAGTTCGAAAGCGCTTCCTCTTTGCTCTCGACTACCAGCCAGGTCCAAACCGCTGGGTTCCCTGTTATGACCAGGATTAGCGGACGGATAAAGTGGACCTGTGGAAGCGTGGCTATTACCGTGCATATAGCCATTGTGATTCGTATTGTTCCGGTTATGCGTCAGACCGAGACTGATTTGACCGGTACTGTTGCTATGGGAATGCGTGGTAGTCACCGGTGGGCTAGAGTGCGAATGCGTGTGGCTGAGGCTGTGACTGTGCGTCGGCGATGTGAGATGACTTAGATTGTGATGCGAATTCACGAGGTTGCTCTCATTGTGACGGCCGGGTGGCGGAATGTTGTAGTAATACTGACCGCTGTTGCGCTGCACGTTGCTGTTGCTTTCTACCTAAAAGAACACAAAAATTCGCACACAATCGCAAATATCTCGTGATGAATAATCAGCATAATCGCATGTTAATTCTCATTAAATTGTAAATCGTTGCGGATAATAAGAGAATAATAATGTGAAAAAAATATCTACTATAAAATTTTTAGTTTATAAAATAATTACCCCATTATGCACATGCGACGTGGCAATGGAATAACTCTTCGAATGTTGATACGAATTACTACCCTCATTCCCGTTATTTTCTGTTTGTCCAAGCGATGTTTGTGGTGGTCTGTAATTCTTCGGTTTTGGAGGCGGAATTGGTTTGTAGGTACCTCCCGGTTTATTTTGTGAAATTGGTATCGATTTGTAGTCGGTAGATCGACTGTACACAAGAAATGATCATTTTATTAGCTTTTTACTTAAATTTAGTAAAAAAAAGTTTGATAAAAGAAAAAATAACTTTAAAGAAGTTCTTTAAAATATTATTTATATTATACAATTTACTGTATAAACAGAATATTTGCAGAATATTTTTCACTGCAAAACTCAAAAAAAAAAATGTATGACAATAAATATATACATTTTAGTTTGTTACGTTGTTATATACATACCTGTATTTGGCATAGTCAGTTCGCGTTTGAGCATCGTGCGTAGAAATGGGTTGTGCTGTAGATCTAGTGAATCTATATGGATCGTGCGCTCTTGCTGGTATATTGCTACTTTTGAGATCATCAGGTACATTCGGTCCCAAACGACCTGTCGATGTACTCAAATTCGCCGCCCCATAATTCGCGTTTCCATTAGTATTGTTGTACGAATCGTATGAAGACATGCTATCGTAACTTCCCTGTGTATGCAAATGTATGTAAATGTGAATTTTACAATCCGTTAACATTCCATTTTTACTTACGGCATACGGAAAAAGAAGAAATATCGCTTACCGCCTTCGGCTGCGCCCGTTCGAGAGACGATGTGGCATTTGCTTTGTGAGGAGTTGCATTGATGTAATTTCCCATATCTAAAACCGAGTCAGTTTTATTCACTCCTAGACGTTCCTGAGCGGATCGCCCTATCGTTCCTCGCGGCGTTTGATTAATCGGTTTCGCATTTCGATCGACCCGAGGCGGAAGATCCGGTGGACTATGATGAGGAGATCTCGGCTCAAAGGAGCTGCCCAAATATTCCGGCGAGCCGGATTGATTGCTCCTTTGACCGGACAAAGAGAAGCCATACTTGCTGTCTCCCATTCCACCTTGGGACCTTCTCTTCTGCTGCTCGAACGATTGCTAAAAAATTAACGTATTAAAAAAAAATCATTCTACTTCTGGATGTATCTAAAAGTACCTGAGAATTCCTGAGAATTCCTGATTATTACCTGATAATTCGTCGAATACGGTGGTGGCGCAGTAGTATCGTCTTGAGTGGCAATGCTCGGATCAGAACTGCTCTTTAGTCGCGACGATTGGCCCAAAATGCCAGGAATAACGGGCGCCGGACTCAACTCCAAATCGCTCTCCGGGGAGGAAGCGTAGGAGAGGCGAGAAGTCATCGGGAATAGGAAGTCATCCGAGAGAGCTTCTTCCGGCTACGAACGCAGACACAAAGGACGTCACGTTACACGTTACACAAACGATAACATATAATGATACATATACGTAAATTAATAACCAGACACAATACATTTAGGTTGCTTGGATATATTGCAATTAATGAAATGCGATGAAAGAATTATCTGTATGAATATTTTGTATATCGCATTAAACTTGCAATTGTACGTTTCGATTATCTCTTTTAAAAAAAGCATACTATAAATTAATAAATGCGAAGAAAGCAAAACAGAAATATAACAGCGTGAAAAATTAGCATGCATTCACAAACATCCAAAACATACGTAAAAAAATCGTATTTTTTTTCAATTAAAAAAGATACGATTCTTTTGCTAAAACAAATATGTACGAATCACAATAATCACGTTAATCACAATAAAATAGAAAAGAGAAAAATTCTGATAATTTTATAATTAATGTTTTGAAGTTATTTTGCTAAACTAGTCTTTAAATAATTTTATAGAGTTTTCCTTTTTCAAATCAAACTACGAAAGTACCTTATTTTCAGTGATTAACAACAGACTTGAAATTTTGGTAAATTGATAATTTTGAGAAGAAGGAATAAATCATTACAATAGATATAATCGTGCAAAGTAGGAAAACACATAAAGCACATAGAATTAACCCTTTAATTGTTTTAGGCAAACATACTTGTTTGTTGACTTAATTGTTACAATTATTAACATGTTTGAGCAGTCTAATTAATTTGTTTACTCTTTAAATAATTAAGTGAGATACACGTATATACGTAAATCTAACGTAAGACACTGAGATAAATTGATTTAAATGCAAAGCTTGACAGAAGTTAAAATTATTATAATATTAATATCATTAATAAAAAATTCTGAATTTCAGTTAAAGGGTTAAAGAGAGCAGGATTTATATATAGCCGAAAAACTGCTCACGGATGACACCTGAATTTGGAGGCGGTTGCGGAAGTGGTGAGAATTTTCCCATGAAAGATGATAATGATGATTGATGATGTGACAAAGGCATATCATGGTTCTTATTCTCGTCACAATACACGTTTTCATAAGAAACTGGAGGAGGTGGGAGAACAGGAGGAGTATGAGCGTGTATAGATGGATGCGATAAATCCCACACCGGATATCGGCTATATATCGGCTACAATAAACAAACCCAAATTATACCAAAGATCGCCGTACGATGAAATGTGTATACAAGCAATGAAAAAAGATCGTGATATTTATGAGAAAAGTGATGAAAAGACAAGAAAAGGAAAAAAAACCCATTCCGACAAATAGGTGTATTTTTTCTCAACAGCATTTTTTGATGTTTCTTTATACTTGAAATTCAAGAAAACAGCGATTTGTATACTCAATCGAGTTATTTTACCTTAGTTTGACTCATCCACAGCGAACCTTGCTGTTGGCGATCGATGAGTTCTCTCAACTTCCGGTACCAAGCTTCCGGTGCGTTTAAAGTGATTACTGCAGTGAATACATGCCCCCAGATTTTATCAAGCTTCTGACATTGCTCCAGGAGCTTTTTACTACTTTTATGCGCTGATCTGTAATTACATATGCGTATAAAATTTGAGAAAAGTACTCGAAACGGAGATCTCATTTCATTATACTTACTTTGGTATACCGGCTCTCATTTCTTTGATGACTTGCTTCGTCTCAGCCTTTAGAAAAATGACAATCGGATAAAATTGGGCATAATTTAAGCGATCTACAGCATTTGGAGTAATGTCAAGCAACGCGTGCTTGCCCCTATCCATCACTTCTCTGATGGCACTTAGGCGAATAATACCGGACGTTTTAGTATTTTTTCCCGTACTATCCTCCATTTGACTTTCCATTTCTACAAACCATTCAATCTTTAATATCTGCTTCGAAAGTTTAAAATTTGCATAATTTAATTTATTTGATAAACACTTACTGCAGAATATACTTACGTGGTGAAGTGAATTTGTCAGGGAAGTCCTTAAGAAGCTTTTCTCTAGCAAGATCGGCCACCGGTCCAAAGAGAACAACAGGCCTGACAAATCCAGGATGTCTTAAAATAACACGTTCATAAGCCGGAAATTTGCTAACGCTATCGGAGAACACGACATCATCCCAATGATCCTAAAAAAATATAAAAATTAAGTTATTAATGTACATGTAGAATATTTTTTTATTTACTGCTTATACGACATTAAAAAACAAAATAATGTTTAAACAAAGTAGAAGAAATGTATATTTAAGGTATATGATATATAAAAAATGTGTGTATGTGTGTGTGTTTGTACCCTTCCTAAAGACTTTGAACGTCTATGACTGTTTCTTCTTCTCCTGAAGAAACTGCCTCTGCTTTCGCTGGCACTCATTTCTTTCTTCGTCGCGTTGAATTGCGCGGTTGCAAGTTCTTCGGCCCGAGCCTTATTGGGTATAATGCCTTTCTGTACCTCCTGATTATTTCGTCCAATTCGAAAAACTTGCCAAGATCCTACAACGCCGTTGTGAAGAGTATCTACTACGTGAAAGACATCACCGCTGCGAAAACTCATCTCGCCCTTCTGCAGTTGCTCATAGTGAAAATGAGTTCTGCACATTTCACACAAAAATACAGTTATATTTTATGTATTTTACGTATTAATATAATAGAGTTATTAATTTACCATAAACATCGCTTACTTTATGTAGAAAGAATCGCCTCGGCCAGAAGCAATAATTTGGTCGTATTCCTGACGTCGATGTTGCACGATAAGATCAATTTGTTCTTGCAAACTAAGAAGAAATAGTACAGCTTCTTCTCTCGTGACTTCTTTCATATCCATATCATTTATCTGTCGTAAAAATGTTATGTTTTTCTTATATATTCAATATTTAGATATCAAAATATACATAAAAATCTTATTATTTCTTAAAAAATCTTTTCATAGAGTCTTTAATAAAATATTACTCAAATTTATAGTCTTCTTAATTTAATAAAGTTTAAAATTAGATTATTCCTATTGTTATATTGTTTCTATTTATTTCACTACTTTGAATTTCACTACTTGACAATATTGAATACTTGACAATATAGATTTAGTTTATTAAATAAGCATATATGTCACAAATTGTGTGCGTGTGCGTGCGTGCGTGCGTGTGTGTGTGCGTGTGCGTGTGTGTGTGTGTGTGTGTGTGTACACACAATTTATGAGATATATTCAATTTATATATATATATAAACTGACCTTTAGAATTTTATCCCCCGGTTGAAGACCCTGTAGCGACGCAGGACTTCCCGCTTGAACTGCAGTTACAAAGACTCCGGTTTCATTACCGCCGCTTAATCGCACACCTACAGATCCTTCCTTTTGAAAAGTAATAAATCGAGGATCTGGCCTGTACGTACATAATATTAAAAAAGAATGTTATGTTTAATAATATTTGCTGATTCTAAAAGGCTGAATAACATTTTATCAACTTACATAGGCTGCTTCGTTCGCGGTGAAACTGAATCTTCGTCGTATAATTGTCTGCGTGTACTATAATAATCTATAAAAAAGATAGACGTTAATAAAATTTCGCAGGATTTTATCTTTCAAAAACAAGAAATGAAATTATTACTATTATTCTCATTATTACTATCATCTCAATTTTGGAGACATTGTATCTATTTGTTTAATTTTAAGTTGACTTATTGATGTTTCAAAGAGAATTTTAATTTAAGATATTATAAACACTGTATTATCAAAATAGTATTAAAAATTAAAAAAGAAAATTAAAGATAACATTTAAGAAAATTTTCAATAAAAGTATAAATTTAAAAAATGCTAAATAAAAATCTGTATCTATTAAAATTTTATTTAGAGTATTATTACAAATAAAAAATGATTAAAATATGTCTTATATCGTGACGCATACCTTCCGGTCTTGGTGGAGGTGGTCTGGGTGGATCAACAGTAGGCGTAGCTGGTAGATCTAGCTGACTCAAAGACACATCCATTAGCGGACCCCGCGAGCGACCCCTCGGCACGAGATTACTCTTGTCTTCCAAGGGCTGCCTCGTAGGTGGTGGAACGTATAAATTCTGACTACTGTAACTCGCTGTACCCGACAGGTATTCACCGTTATCCCCTTTACCTTGCTGCTGCACGTGGCAGCACGAACTATCTCGCGTAATTACGATCGAGAGTCTGTCTTTGCACTGGTCCATCAGCTTTCTAGCTTCCTTCAAACTCATATTGTCGGCGGCGACGCTGCCTATTCGGGTTAACACGTCCCCGGTTTTCACTCCGACATTCTCTCGCGTAACCTCCTTTACGTATAATCGACATCCCAGCACTATGCCGAAGTCTAAAAATCAAACGACAAATCATTCGTCGAACGACAATCATCCTGCTCTATTGTGCAAATAAATCAAAAATTACACAAGGGAGAGATTAAAAACTTGAAGATAAAATAAAGTAAAAGATTAGAATAAAAATTAGAGATGAGAAAATTAAATTAAATTGTATTGTGATTTGACAGAGATACCGATTAGTCAAACAGTATATATTGCCTGGAACTTTCAGATCATCATCGTGAGATAGCTACACGCAACTTACGTACCATCTTTTTTATTGTTTCGCGTAAGTGTAAGCCGGTGACTTTGGGGTGCCGCACTGCCTAAACAACCAGGTGAATTCGAGGAAGCTCTTCGTTTAACAACTAATAAAACGGTAGAACCGGAATCCCGTAGGACTCGCACGGCAGCCCCGTAATCGGCGCCTTCCAACGATATTCCATTGGCAGAGATGATACGGTCGTTCACTCTATAAACGATACGTTGTACTAATTAAACGATAATCTTGCTAACGGGATTGCACCAAATTAAAACAAAAAGTAAAAATTGCAGCAAATTGTAAATTTCACAAAAAGTGTAATAGTTTGACAAGTAAGAATGTATTCTTCAGCTATTACTCCAAAATATATTTTTATTTTGCAATCCGTTGAAATTTTTATATAAATAAAACTTAATATTCCCAATAATAATAAATTAGATTAAATAAATTTTAAATAAATGCAAATATTATAAGAAACTAAGAATCAGAGATTGTAAAAAAATTTTTAAATCAATAATAAAAGAGAAATGCTTCTACTAAATATGCATTAAAAAGGATTTATTATTTGCTACATATTCAAAACTTACTGTAATTTTCCTTCAGCCGGACCGGCTTTGAGTACGTCAGAGATCGCGATTGCTGGATCGCCATTAGTGAAATGAGGATTATCGCGACCTCCTGACACAGCTATTCCAAAGCCATAACCAGGAACTCTGGTCACCGTAACGTGATGAATCTCCCATCCTCTATCTCCGATCTAAAATTTAAAAAAATATGATAACATTTAAAAAATTACCAATAACAGATACAATTTAATTAAAATGTCTTAAAATGTGATTCATTCGTTTCATATTTTTTATTTTATTGCATAAATTGTTAGAAGTTATTATTATTCCTTTATCTCTATCATAAAAATATAATAGTTTGAAATAAATAATCGTTTAGTATTTTAATAATTTTTCGAATGCCATTCTAATTACTTTTTGCACTTAATGGTATTTTATTCATAATAAAATCGACAAGCGCTACGGGCACTGCTTAAAGAGACTAGTGTTATAATATGCTTCTGATTCTAATCGCTTTCATTGCTCATCATAATATCTTTTTGTAGATATGTTTTATAACGTGATTGCTATTCTCAGATGACACACTATCATGATTGCAACAATATTATGCCGAAAGGCATGCTTTTACATTCTTACATCAGTTCTTAACAATGCAAAATAAAGATAAGCATAGGTATGAATATCGTATATTTAAATAAGATAAGTAAACTGTATAAGTATCAAGATACACTATCGCGTCACTCAACATTTGATATACCGTGACCTGATAATGATAGATGAGGCTCATAGCATAACGAAAAATTTTATCTTTATTTTTGTTTATGTTTTACGTGCAAACAAGGCTATTACTAACGAGGCAAAGCCTGAGATCGTTGAATTTTACACAAATTTGTTCACTAAACTTTTCCTTAATTGAAATAAAGATAAAAGAGTAAAAGTTAAGTGTATTCTATAATATAATAAATAAATTAACATTTCATTTCTACGCATACAATGAGACAACGTTTAACCAACGGTTAGACGACGACAGCATCGTCTAATTAAGAATCATAATTCATTTTCTACACGCATGGAAGCGGATACAATGGAGTAATTATACACATTTCGCTGAAGCCTGTGCACATTTCCTAGCTCCGCGGCGTGTTTTCGTCGAAATATGCGCCAGTTCAAATTAATGATAATCAGGCATCGGGCATCGAGCGTCAAAAGCAGGATAATTAGATTTCGGGGCGAGGCGAGAACAATGAACCGTGCGTGACCGGCGCGGTTTCGCCGTTAAAATGCGCCAGAGTTCCGCAATTCGCCGCGATAAATTTAGCCTGACGGACCTTGTGAATCACTTAAAAGCACGTGTTACGTACAGGAGAACTCCTGCGCGATCGACGGATAATCCAATACCCCGTATCAAATGGCAGAGTTATCGCCCTCGTGGATGCGACAAGGTAGCAAGGCTATTTCTGATCTCATATTCAGGTACCGCATCCTGGGAGAGATAGACTTGGATGAATAGGAAATGATAACGGCACGCGAAAGAGAGAGAGAGAGAGAGAAAGAGAAAGAGAGAGACGATTTCAACATTTTCATTATCGACACGCTACAGTGACATCAATAAAAGTAATAGAGATATATCTATCAATCACTCATAATTTTTATCTTGATTTCCTTCCTCGTTCGTATTGATGCCATCAATACGAAAAGATCAAGCAACAATCTTTGGAATGACTTCGGTTGAATTGCGATCTCTACTTTAATTCAATTAGCAAGGACGATGAAACGAGATGGACGAAATAAAGTCCAGTTACTCGAAATCGAGAGAATCTCTACGTTTGCCAGGGGACGAGATATGACCGCGTAAATGTTTACAGTCTTCCCTTATCGGACCTAGAGATCTAGGGATGCACTACCTGGCCGTCGAAGCCGCCGGAGGAGTTTTGCATCGTGCCGTGGGTCGACGAGGTGGAGTTCGGCGGGGATCCAGAATTTCCCACGTGACAGCCCACGCCGATACCGATGCCGCCGCCGCCGCCGCCGCCGCCGCCACCCCCTCCTCCTCCTCCTCCGCCACCACCGCCGCTGCCACCACCGCCACTACCTCCGCCGCCTCCGCTGCCACTTCCGCCATTTCCGCCATTTCCGCCGCCGATCCCGACGATGTTGTTATCGCTCCTGTCCATCCTCTTGTCGCGAAGAAGACGTTCCCTATCCTTCCGTGCGCACAATCTACCAAGACGATTCTCTCACGAGCCGCTCCCTTGCGCACTTCCGCCGATCGTCCGCGATCCCTCAAGCATCCCTCCCTCTCTCGGACGTCCGCGCTTTCACGTGGAATCACGTGGGATCGACGGATTGATCTCGCGTCGCAGGAAATTCCGTCGCGATCGCATCGTTGCACGGCCGTATACGTGGTGAATGCGTCGATCGCGCGATCACTGATCAATGATGGCTAGAGCAATTCTTGCGTAAAGATGATCGTGGTGTTCAAAGCGTCGTCCTTCTGCCGTCGATTGTTAAATAAAATCACCTAGCTTCTTCTTCTTCTTCGATGACTTTTATCACTCAGAACAATTCGATTAATATCTAGTAAAAAATGATCGCCCAGCGATCGTTCAAGGATTCGTTAATTACGATTCCTTCGTCGATGTTTTCCGTTGGAAGGAAGCAAACACATTTGACATCCGATGTGAATCACACAGTGTCTCTTGATATTTTTTTTTAATAAAAAATAATGTTGAATACCGCTGCTCCGAAATCTACAAAGATCAGTTTGCGTATTGCCTTTCTCTCGTTCTCCTTCGACGTTGTGCAATACTAATGATCAACAATCAAGATAGATAATTATCGTCTTTTAGATTTCGTTGTGTAAACTTCATCTCTGAGAAACATCGATTTTTCCTCATCGTTTCTTCCTAAGATTATTTGCACCGTTTCGTAATGTTGACAAGATCCACGAAGACTCACGAGTGCGTAGACTCACGAAGAGGAAGAATCCCGCTTATTATACACCATTCGCAAAACTCGCAAGGCAAACACCCAGGAAATCGTCTAAATGGACTAAATGGTCCAGGTCTTTTATGAAAAACATCCTCGATACGTACCGCTTTAAAACCAAGTATAACGTAAATTTTTCAACGAAGAAATTCCTCAACTTACAGGCACGCTAATATATCGCGATTTCTCCAAACGTCGCGTTCTCAGATTTCATTTAGGATCACCTCAATTCCGATCATCACGAAATCGAAGAAAGCTTTCATTCGCGCGAAGAGATCGCGCTTGCACTCACACCTCGCAGGGAGACAAATTTCGGTCAGAGCTCGAGATCTCGAAATGTTAGAGTCTAACGTTCAGCGATCTCGCGGTCAGCAGAGAATCTCGTGGACCGAGATTCGACTGACCCGTTTTTCTCCATCGTCGCGAATTTCCCTTCCTCGTTTGCCGTTCTCCGCGCGCGAGACTCGACACTCGCTCCCGTTCGCCTTGCTCGGTCACGCAGCCACGGCTTCACGACACGGCAGGCCTCGTCGTTTCATTCGTGCACGCCTCTTTTTCTTCCTTCGCACGCCGAGCTTCGGAACGCGACGTAGCGTGAAGCGCTCGATTTCGTTCGGAGACCACGCGGCCCTCGAACGTTCAATCTCTCGAATCAGTTATTTCAGTAATCCCCGAGGCTGTATCAAACGAGATTTATTTCCAGCAATTTCGAGCTAAATTCGAAGTTAAATTTCTCGCCGTTTCCATCGATGTTTCTAGCCCTTGCGGGAACCAAAATGCGATTTTGTCTAGCAGATTCGTTTTTAATTTTCATTAGATACGACTAAAGTTTACAATTATGTGCGGAGTTTAGAATCGTTTTGCTCTATTGAAAAAAAAAATCGTGTATTCTTGATCAATAAGTTTCTGGTCGAAAAACGACTCTGTATGAGATGAAAGAAAAGAAATTAAATTGTAAGATCTTGTAGAGCGACAACGAGCGTTTGTAATAACTTTAATAAAAGTTTATTTTTCTCTCTTCGCGATTTGATAGCAATTTGTCGCTTCTTCTAAACTCTTCCTCCTTTTCTTTATTTCAGATCATTGTTGTTCTCAATCGAGGGAAGAAACCAACCTATCGACCGCATTGAATGCACATTCCAATCGCAAGACGCTTCTGAAGTCAATTATTTCGCTTCTATTCCCACGATTCAGAACAGAGTTTTCTTCTTTAAAAAGATCTGAGATCTTTTTTCTTAAAAAAAAAAAAAAAAAAAACTACTATCGAAAACGATTGTTTAACTTAAGAATGTATTTTTCGCACAATTATTCGGCCTATTGTGCCGAAAATGATCACTCTTTTCTGTATATTTTACGAATCATGTATAATTCTGAAATTCCTCCTCTTTGGTGTTGTACTATGTATGAGTATTACGGGTTAATTTCACGTAGAAAAAACAAAGAGAAAAAAATTGATGGTTCAGAAACTAAATTTAAATACGCTATAGCTAAAGCAGCGAACGTCTATCTTGATTGTTGATATGTCAGCGTAACGCGCGCGCGAGGAATTTCCCAAGCACGATAATTTTCAGTAACAAGAGCGGCTTTAAGCGTCGTGTATAATTATCACGACGACAGCCCTTTCTCGAGGAATCCCTCGTCTCGACGAACTTGTCTTTCGCCTCACGCGGCACAGAAATACACCGCGGCCCGCGCCGCCGCTACTGCCGACCGGAAGCGCATTTCCAAAAACTCGCTGAAGGCCGTCGACACAAAACAGGTTCCCGACCGACCGACCGGCTACCCGCGCCACGGTTGTCCGAAACGAAACCCGCCTAAACCGGACCGCGATTTAAATCGCCGACGCGGACCGGGACGACCTCACTCACTCACGTTTTCGACTAGCTGGACGATCTCTGCCGAAGATTCGATTCGATCCTGAAGAACCACGATCGAAGCGATTGCATCATCGCCAGCCTCGGAGGAGTATGCGACTCGAAGGAATTCGCTCGAAAAAAATTGCAATATTCACTGCGAGGATGCGCGCGACCAGAACCCGAAGCCCGGAGTTGCAAAACGACTCGACTTCCTCGAGACCACGATTCAAGCTCTCTCAAGATCGCAATCGGCGTTTCGCATCTCCGGCATTTCTTCGCGTTCGGAGCACCGTTCGTACCGTTCTTCGTTCCTTGTGTGAATCGACTACGCGACCGTGGCGAAAATGCACGTTGAATCGACATCCACGGTACCGATATATATCGGCACTATCCGCACGCACGTATACACACAGGATTCACCACGTTCCACAGGGGCACGGATGCACGTTTTCGTGTCGCACGCGCGTGCATACGGCCTTCGCGTGCGTACGCTGCGATCCAGCAGCGACAGTAGCAACCTTCGCGAACCCTCCCCGAGATCGCTCTTTACCTCCTAGCTACTGACTAAAAACTGAGATCGAGATTTCGAAAAGGAGAAACGATCACGCGGGACACAAGAGGCCTCCTTTTGCCGAGGCGCGAGAGAAAGAGAGAGTCCTGGCGACGAACGCGTTCAGTTTCTCTATCGCCAGGTCGACTGGTCGAGGTAGAATCGGCCGAGGACTGCAGGGACGCAGAAGGACGGAGCGGTGACGGAGAAGAGAAGAGATGGCGGTGCTTAGCACACAAGAACGGCATGAAAGATGAAGAAAGACGGAGAAAGAGAAAGAGAGTGGGAAAGGGAGAGATGGAAGAGGAGAGTGGAAAGAGAGAGGAGAGAAGGGCGAAGAGGAGGATTAGGTTCGAGAGCGTGCCGACACCGGTTTTGTCTGGTCGGTTCGCTTAGTTGGCAAGACTACAGGTAGAGGTCGGTCTTCAACATCTTGCTCTGGTGTGTGTGTGTGTGTGTGTGTGTGTGTTGTGTGTGTGTGTGTGTGTGAGAATATTGTGTGATACGTTGTTTGCGTGTAGGCGAGCGTGGTGGCGCGTGTGTACG